ATAAATCTGCCTCGTAAATGGGATGTGTCATTTTAAGTAAGTCTAATCGTAAAGAAATAGATGCAGAAATACATAATGTAAGATCTACATGACACTTAACTTTTATTTTACACTTCAATTTTTGTTTCTCGATAATTTCATTAAATAGTGCATATATTTTCTCTTCATTCTTTTAATTTATAAATATTTTTAACAGAATTTTGGGAAGTTTAAAGTAAACAGGCTCTCATTTAGTTACAGAATATCTCTTGTTAGTATGTTAGACACACAAAGAGAAAGCGAAATACAAGAAATATTAGTAACGTGACAGCAAGGGCATTAACTGTGTATACGTAAAAGGGAAAGAAAATTTAGTGCCTGAAAGTTACAATACCTTAGTTGTGGTTTTATTTATTAGTTTAACATATGCTGTGAAAGTAAAAAAATAATTTTTAATAGTTTAAGCAGAAGTGAATAAAGCATACGAGTAAATACTTGAAGTGTTATATAAATATGAGTACAAAAGGAAAAAATATAACAGACAAGTGTTCAAAGTCACCCAGAAACACAGTGAAGAATAAAAAAAAAACATTTAAAAAACAGTATTAATGTAACAAAGAGAGCTCTAATTTTAGATTTAATCAATCTATTACATATGTAAAACATACTTACAATAATCGTGTAAGTTTAAATAAATGCAAGTATATTCCTTTCCCTACTTTAAATAAACTCTACAAATTAATTGATTCTAGAAATTTAAATAAAGAAAAAAATATCCTTCTTAGAATGACAACAGCGAACTGCTACTACTTGATTATAGCTTGAACTAATTAATACTTTGACACAAGCACCTGCAAAACCCATAATTAACAAATCAAAACTAAAATAAAACTGAAATAAAACTGCAAGCTATCAAGTATAACTTCAGTTTTACCTTGACCACCAAAATTCTACAAATAAAATTACAAAAGGGTTTTAAAGCACCCCTGAACATAATAATCTTCAATTCAACATCTCAATTTGTCAAGTTAAATAATTCAAAAAGTTTTTCTCAAAAGAAATAAATTCCTTTAATGATGCTTTATAAGTCTAGCTGGTCAAATAAGTTGCACATGAAAAATCATATTTTAAATGTACATGAAAAATTTCATATGAAATATTTTGTGCTGCCTACAGTCTATCAGAAAACAGTAATTTGTATCTTTAAAATATTGTCAATTTTAATATTTCAACTTTTTGTGTGAATTTCGGGAAAAAGAAATGAAAGTGATGTGTGGAAGCACCAAAAAGTTGTCTAAAGACATTTTAAATTATTTAATAAGTTGCACAAGAAATGTACTTGAATTTCATATAAAATAAACAAGTATGTGTTGATAAAGATATAAATAAACTTGATGTATACTGTAAGCAAAATTAGCTGTTGCATCAAGTGTCAGGGGAATTGTTGAATTAATTTGGAAAAGTTGTCATTATTATATAGAAGAAAAAAAAAACATGGCATATATCATAAACATTTGCATCCATTATCTTCAATGCAAAATTTCTTTAATTTTTGTCCACATGTAAAAAGAGTTATTAGATATCAATCATCTTTAAATTTACTTCGGAAGTACATGGCATTCCATTAATGTTAAAATAGTGGACAAAACAAGTTTGCCATTTATACATACAAGTACTTTATCCCTATCATACACACATGTACACCCTATCTAGCGTATAGTAGTAATGTGTTGACTACATCCTTTTGTACAGGTACATCAATACTTTAAGCATGGACGGAATTAAACATCTATCACAGACAACACACTGGCTTGGAAGTGTCTACATTTACCCGTTTCAACAGTGGAGAAGCATATCACTATATCATGAATTTCGAATGCTTAGGTTAATTACATTTATTATTTAACATTACTTAGGTATTCTCTGCATTAGGAAAAAGTACAAAACTGTTGGATGATCAAAGTTCCTGTTACAAGAATGCAAATCAATTAATTTCTTCAAATAAAAAAAAAGTCCATACACACAGCCAATCTCAGAAATAAGAAGCCCATTAGAAAATAAATGGCAAAATTTTTCCATTAATTATAAAATATGAACATATTAAAAATTTCAGCAGCTCATTTATATTTTTGAAAAATTCACACATCAATCACTGGCTCTTGGGCTCAAACTTCTGAACGAGGGTTTTTACAGGTTCTTTGGTGCGCAGCAGCACCTCCGTCCAGCTGTCTGCACTAAAACCTTGGCCGAGATTTTTCCGAACATGTTCCACATCACCAAATCCTTCTTTCCCATGGGAGTAATTCTTCCTATGCATTCTGGGTGTCCCCATGGGAGACTCGCCAGCATCTCTTTGGGGGGTCAGTTTTTCTGGGGAGGGGTTAAATTTTCGGGGGGAGTGGGAGTCTAAACCCAGACTCTGCAGACCCACATCAACACTGTAAGCTTTCTTACCATCGAAACTCATCGCCTGCATGCTGGAAAATCTTATATCCTCCTGCGACAGGCTGCTGCCTTTTGGGGAATCGGTTAGGTCACTGGGTTTATTAAGGGCATCCCTGAGTGGCAGGTACTTGTAGCTTCCTCCTAACGAACTGTTCTTCTGCTCCATACTGAGTTCTGATTCAGATTTTGCCTTATAGAGGGCGCTGTGGTTAAGTGAGGAAGTGGGACTGGCGACCTCTTCCTGTTGAAATTTGGACATCCGTTCTACAGGATGAGGATCGACTGCTTCAAATTTACTGGAATTCTGTTCACGCAGTGAAGGAACAACATATCTACTAGGAAGCAAGTCCACACCATTGAACTGCCCCAATTTAAATGTCCGGGGGCTATTGTATTCCTGATCAGAATTCTCGTTTGAGGTGGAATGGTCACGGGGGGAGAGTTTTCTGGAGGTGATATTGGGATGCAGTCTTCCGTATTCCATTCTATCAGGAGACGACCTCTTGCAGTCTTTACTAAATGTCACTTCTTTGCTGACCGATCTGTCTCTCTGAATACGATTTGACCGACTTTTCTCTCTAGGATGACGGCTTTCCAGCCTTTCTGGATGACGACTTTCTAGCCTTTCTGGAGAGAGTTTCAAGCTTCGTTGTGGTGGACTGTGGAAAACATTACTTGAAGGTGATCCTTTTGATGAGATTTCCAAATGCAAATCACTGTTCATTTTATATGGAATGCGGTCCTCTGTCTTTCTTGCAGATCCATCACCAGCTGATCGTGGACGGGACTTTGACCTTTCACTGGAATAATCATGTGACCTTGTCATTGGCATGTAATCATTTGACCTTGCTATGGGTGCGACACGGATATCCTGGTATGACCTTGACACTGTGGAGTAGCCATTGTGTTTGGAGTGAAAATCATTCTGTCTATAATCAGAAGCAGACTTCCCCAACCCTGAGTTCATGTCTCTGTTGCCTTGAAATTTGACCCCATAGTCTGATTTTGATTCTAAATGTCCTTGACCCGAAATGGGTGCTGACATATCACTCCTGGGTGTGGTTGACCTTGAACTTGACCTTGAACTTTTATCAAAAGAAATTGCATCCAGAGCTTCTTCTATGTCTGCTAGCTTGGCTTCGATATTCGCTCTGAAATTTAAGAGAAAAAATGTCAATGTATTGTAAACTTTCATGAAATTGATGATTTCATTAATATCAATTATAAAGGCTTTAAAACTCAAGTGAAACATAACGTACAGGACTGTTTAAAATAACAAAATTTTCATTTAATACATGTACCAGATTAACAAAAGGACTGAATTTATTATTTTTTGGCATTGAGAATAACAATCACAATTTTAAATTAAAAATCAAGGTAATAATAATAAACATGTTTTTAAACTTATGTTTTTCTTCTCCAAACTATGATTTTATAGAGGCTAAATTAACACTAAAACCTCAGTGGTCTACTGCTTTAGTGAGGAAAGTTGCATAATCAATGTTCAATATGATGCAAACTAGCATTTAATTCAAAGACTTTTTGTTTGATTAAACTTATTCAAGGTAGACCGCACACATCTTTGTGTTTGGAAATGGATCAGCAACCATAACCTGGCTATACAATGCTAGTTAGATTCAACATCTTAAGAATGATTTCTGCTATGCATTATAAACAAGTCAAACAGCCTGGTTAACTTAGAAATGGACCTAGCCTGCTCCAAAACCTACAACTCGATCACTCATCCAGAAAGGATAAAACATATTGCAGCTTTCATCTTGGTCCAAGTAGAAGATTTAATTAATTGATGAGATTTATAGTCCGAGATGTGATAAACATGTATTTGCAAGTTTGGTTTAGATAGATTTTAAATAAATAGAGTAAATGGACATGCTTCAAGACTTCAAACAGAAAGACCATAACCAATGCCAAAGTTTAGTGAGTTGAACATGGTTGGTTTTACATGGTAAGTGCTCTTATTGACAAACTACATAGATTGGACCTTACAGTTTGATCTTTATAAACTGAAACATACATGAATGATTTATTATTTAAAAAAGAAAAGAAACTTGACTGTTTATATTCAAGGATTAATCTCATTTCTTACAAGTACTCAGAGATTCATTTTGGGTAAATCAAACGAATTCTCAACTGTATATGAATGATTAAACAAAAATTTCGATACATTTTTGTCAAGGAAAAGGGATGGGTTACATTAGCATTAAATGGAAACATTTTTTTTAAATGATCAGTTTAATTTTAATTGGATGACATGTAAACAATACTATTACATAACAAAAGGTTTGCAGGCTTTAGCAGTCATGAATTGCTATAATGTCTGACAGACTTGGGCTATCCATGACTGCTAATTAAAAATTATTGAAGTTGCACATTTGAATCTAATATTAACATAAACACAGATTTTTGACGAAAGGGATAGTTCCAGGTTTTTGTTCATTTTGTTGGTAGGTTTGTACACAGTCAATTATAAGGAGTTAACAAACTAGAAAACTGACCAGTCAGCATGGGCCCCGCCATGGGGTAGAATTAAAAGGGTGCAGCTTACAGAATGATTAATAAATGTACAAAGAAAAAGCAACAGCAACTGTGTTCTTAAAATTTCAACATAATTCCTGAATATTCAAAAACCTGAAAATAATATTCTTGTATTTACATTAGGCAGTAAAGAACAACTTAACATTGAATTTATATTTAAACAATTATGAATCTTGTGTTATATAAAATGCCAGCCTTCAATGAATGCAAATATCATGAAGGCTTGACCTTAACTTCAAACAAACAGCAGTTGCAGACAAAGGTTTTCATTAATCTTAAAGTGACAGATAAAGAGAAGCCTACTAAATTTTCTGCAGCAGGCTAGATAATTAATCCCAAGGGATTAATTGTACCTCTCTCATCATTTTCTTCTAAAGTTACAATAAGAACTTTTTCAGCATTAATGATAGAATGGGGTTTTTATACAACTACATTAAAAATTAAAAACATTCTTGAATTAATATATTTTAAAAAAAAAAAGGAAAAAAGTGAAAAAAAGTACCCTGGTAAATCAAAAAATCTTCTTTAATCTATTTCTTTTTTAGGATTCAATGAAATCATAACTATCAAACAAAAATAAATAATAAAAATTTATATTTAAATCCACATTTCAGAGTGTACATAGCATTCCAAATTGATTTAACTTCAAAACAAACTTCATTTGCAGACAGAGGTGGTAATTAATCTCAATGTGACAGATAAAGATAATGCTCTGGATTTTCTTCAGGAGGAAAGCTAATTAATCCCATGGGACTCCTAGTAGCATTCAGTTTACTGAATGGGAACATCTTCAGCAGTTATCTCTCTTTGCAAATGCATTCTTATATAAAGTTAAGGAATCTACCCCACCACCCCAGCTCCAAACCAAGGGACATAGAGAACCAAACTTAGCATCAAAATATGTATTTTTGCCTTAACTACCGTACCAAATTTCATCTTAATTGGACAACCATAAAAAAGTTGCCCGTTCATTCTTATGCATAGTTAAGGAATCTACCCCACCACCCCAGCTCCAAACTAGAAGACATAGAGAATCAAACTTAGCATCAAAATATGTATTTCTGCCTATTAAACTACCATACCAAATTTAAACTTGATTGGGCAACCATAAAAAAAGTTATTAGAAAAAAACAGAAAATTTGTGGACGGAAGAGTGACAGACGGACAGACAGACAGACAGATAGACAGACGGACGGACAGACAGAGTGATTACTATAGGGCACCCGCAAATCCTTGCGGGGCCCTAATTAAGAGGATCATTTATCAACTATTAAAGTAAAACAGATATTTGGTATGGGTATTCATGGAAGAAATTGGATGACACAATTTTCCTTTTACCCAGCTACTGGTAACTAAAGGTATATCTGTGAGTCTATAAAAAATGAGGTTGAATGATTCAATTCAAATACAATGTTTGCATGAGATGCACTAATGATACAAAACATTGATGAATGACTAATGCATTTATTATATGAAATAAAATAGGTTAAATCATCAAATAAAATAATTTCAATTTGTCTTCGCTGGATGTTTTGGGCAATCTTTCTTTTAATAATGTTAATTCAATTGAAAATTTTCTATCATTAACAGTATACTTTACAGTGTTTGCAATTTTAAGTATAATTCCTATGCCATAAAACTGAATAATATTTAAATGAGTCAGCATTAATTGTATTAAATTAGTGTTGAAAAAGAATGAATAAAATTGCAAATTTCACTAAGTTACCTCCCTCACCAAAGGATCAATTCTCCTTAACAATATTTAACTTACCCAATGATTTCATTGTGTAGGACTTTGCGGACGTTCTCCATGTAAATCTTTTTCAGCTGAGCCAGTGTGGTGTGACGTTCCTTCTGCATTTCCTGTCGGACAGTTTCCGCAGCTCGCATGTTTGTATCCGTTATGTGCTTCATGACATCATCTAAAAGCATTTATTCCATTGTAAAATCAACTTATCTGTTAGTAGCCTGCCTTGATTTTTCAATAACAAATGTTAAGGGAAGCTAGTTTTGGGTACCAAAATGACATTTTACTGATATTTTTATTATATTGCCTCCGACAATCTGATCAAAATAGAGTGGACCTCTCAAAGCCTGCTTTGGTTAATGGCAAGACAGATTTCAGTCAATTTTGAAGTCAACATAAACTTTTTCATATACATTTTACAATTGACAATAATTTCACATTAAACATCTCCTGAGACTTTTGAGTATTTTGATATTTCAGCAGGTTAAAAATAACTTGACCCATGAGGCCATGACCTTTGATCTTGTTGACAGTGTTCAGTAAAAATAACTTGATCCATGACCTTTGATCTTGTTGACAGTTTTCAGTAAAAATAACTTGACCCATGACCTTTGATCTTGTTGACAGTTTTCAGTAAAAATAACTTGACCCCTGACCTTTAATCTTATTGACCGTGTCCAGGTACTGATCTCTCAACTCAAACATGCTCTCATCACTTAGGTCCTCAGAGTCAGTCTAAAAATAGAAACAACCTTAAATTAACAAAACTTGAATTCAAAAAATTAAAATATTAATTCAGATTCTGTTATTAAAGCTTGCATACACACATTTTTATTTAAGTTGTTCACTGAAACTCTTTTATTAGTCTATATTTAAGTAAAACTCAGTTATAGCTAAGTCTATGGGACATTAATGAAATTTCATTTGAAGATAACTTTGTTACAGTACCCGCATCGTTATTCTTTACAATTCTATCGTGTTCTATCGTGCGTGTATCCTATCGTATCGTGCGTGTATCCTATCGTATCGTGCGTGTATCCTATCGTATCCTATCGTATCGTGTTTTCCGTTTATCAGGTTTTGCGTTTTCTATCGTGTTTTCCGTTTATCGTGTTTTGCGTTTATCGTGTAGATCGTTTATCAGGTTCTATCGTGTATCGTGTTTTGCGTATATCGTGTATATTCGGAAACCCTCGCTTTTTATCTTTACTATGTAAAGAAACTACTGAGCTATTCCTAGTTTCTTTTTCGTTTTGTTAATAAAAATAAGATTAATTCAACCGAAAAAGAGAAAATAAAGATTTATCCCTTTCTTTTTCATCAATATAAGAAATATTAAAACGTAGAAGTAAAAAATAATTAATCGCGTATTTCATGAATGAATAAATTGATTTATTAATAAATAATTAATTAAATAGATAAAATAATTATATCATGGTAAAGCAGAGAGTAACTGTCAAAATTTAAACAGTAACTCTGTTTTTCAGAAATGAAATTATAAGTAGATCGATCAACTGGTCTATTTCTTTAAAAAAATAATTTATAGAATTGTATGATTTATTTTGTCAAAATTAAATACTATTAATATGATTTTCTCAAATGAATCGGATTTACCCGAGAAAGATTTTTGGTAAGCTATGATGTTCGCGTAGACAAAATCAAATAAATAAATAATAAGCAGCATATTGAAATGTATCTTTTTTTCATGCAATATTCTGTTTTTCCTTGTTTATTGCCTGATAACGTGAGAAATATGTTTACGCGTCTGACCTGCATGTATGCACAATTATTTAAAGTCTTGATGTTACAAATATAATGTGACAAAAGACAATGATCCGGATGATTTTAACAACGGTTTTGGCCGTATACGTTCAAAATTTAAATTTATTTTTTAAAGCTAATTATAAATTCCTTGACATATGTCTAAATTAATAAAAGAAATCAAAATTATAAAATATAATCAATGAAAATATTCTACCCAATTTATCACACCATGGCTGTTACTATAAAATAGAAGATTTTCATTAATTTTATCTGGCATTAGATAACATAAAAATAATATATACATGTACAGGGGAAAACATGAAGTTTTTTAACAGCTTACCTTTTCGGCGTGGAAATAAACTCAAAATATAATCCATCGGGATGCCAAAAATCAAAATAAATCGAAGACCTTTCTTTACAAGAAAACTGACACGTATGTGTAGCTCTCTAATTAGCACACTGTCTTCCTGTGCGGTCAACCGCCCCCTCCCCCTTCTCCCCTAACTGACACCTCGGCCCGTGTGTGTGTGTGATCACCGTCAACATACATGTACCGGTACTGATTTCTCACCTGGGGTCAATTAGTAACCTCGAGTACTACCTGGTTCTAATGAAACGCATCAACTTATTTTCGGGATTTTGTTCCTAACTTGTTTGAACAATTTTATCAAAGATTTAATTTAAAATACATTAAATAATTGTACGATTTATGGATTAAAAAATCATGATTTTGAATGTTAAATAAAAATTCAAATAAATCAATTTAAGTTTATGTAAATAAGTCTTTTAATAAACATAAAAAAAATATACTGCACTTATGGTAAGTGCACTTTCGGGTCATCGGGTTTTCTACGTAAAACGGACAAAATTAATTCTAGGAAACTATTTCATTGATGGTAGAAACGGATGAAATAGTTCTAACATTCTAAACTATGAAAATTAGCTCGCAATATTTTTTTAATGGTATCTTACTATAAAAATAAAACAAAAGGAGTCGTCTGATCCGCCGTGACCATGCAAGACTAATAAATACACCGAATCAATTTATAGTATTAATCGATTTTATTCCATACGTATGTAACTTTATTTAAGAATTCAACATTATATTTGGCTATTTCTTTAGATCATGTTTATCTAATTTTAAATTGGTTGCAGACTTTCAAAATACCGCCCTTCGAATATGCCTAATATGAGATTACCGGATCAGTGTAAAATGATTTTTAAGGTTTAATAATTCATATGCCGAATTAAACCTATTTTTCGTTATTATTAGAAACAGTACACACAGAGTTTAATAGCAATGATTTATAATTATTAAGTCGGAAAAGTCGCATTTCACTCTTTTAATATTTGTTAATTAATTTTTCTGTTTTGTATTGTAAAGAAGAAAGTATTTAACCATTCAATGTTCGTTAATGAATACGAGGTTTTAAGTATCTTTAATGTAAAATGTTTACATGTACATAAGTCAGAGCTTAGCGTAAACGTACATGTGCAGTTGTAGCAGACTCTTATCCTCATGACACAGTTTACATGTATTAATGCAGATCGCCATTATTTTAATAATGTTTCTATTATTTCTATTCAGAAAATTTAATTTTCTTGAACTGTTTCGTTCTTGATAGATCAATCATGTTAAATTTATTAATTTTGTTAAAGCCTTTTTTTTTTAAACCTTTCTTTCGGCCAGTCTTCTACTTGTAATATTTTCTAAGAAATTAATATTTAATTGCGATTTTTTGATACATCAAAGACTGTAAGCTTTAGACATTAAATACAAATATTTAATTTATTGCGTAAATTTCTTCCGTGAAATAACTTCGTACTTGTAGATAAATTCATTAGATAGAAAATTAAAATGTATATTTTTCATAAATAATAAATCTGTTTATAGAGTTTCAAAATTCACACACTTGAGAAGAAATAAAAAAAAAATACAGTCTCCATTTCATAAAAATCCATTTAATCACTGTCAATTTTTTATATATATAAATAAACAACTTTTGTAAAATTAATACAGAGATCTCAGGTTCTTTTTATAATATTTAAATGTACTTTATAGTTTAGATTTCAAGCTCTGTGAGTATTTATATTAAAAGATAATCTAATTTAAATAATCTTTCATCTTAAATTTAATTCAAAATAATCTTTTCGTCTTGTCAAAAAACGTTCCACAATTTCAAACAATCCTATCAGGTTTTGCGTTTATCCTATCGTGTAGATTGTTTATCAGGTCTATCGTGTTTTGCGTTTATCGTGTTTTGCGTGTATCGTGTTTTGCGTTTATCGTGTTTTGCATTTATCCTATCGTGCGTGTATCCTGTCCTATCGTGCGTGTATCCTATCGTATCGTGCGTGTATCCTATCGTATTGTGCGTGTATCCTATCGTATCGTGTATCCTGTAAAGAATAACGATGCGGCTACTGTATATCTGTGACTTCGCAAAATCCATGTTCGTACTAAACATGTTTTACTGTACATTTATCTGACTTTTTGTGTCACAGAGACACTTGTTTCAGTGTTTCATTCTGATACAAACCTGGACTTCTGTGTCACTCAGACACTTGTCTGTGGACCGTTCCTTCATCTCCACTATTTCCTCTTTATACTGTCGTGTCAGGGCAGACATCGCAGCGTTGTGAGCCTTCGCCATTTCCCTCATCTTGTTTTTCATGGACTCCATGGCTATGGCATTGTCTTTTTCTAAAGATTTCTTCACTTTCTCAATCTCATTTCTGCAAAACAGATTTTTTAAGAGAAGTTCATAAAATGTCAATCTTGTGGTGGATTAGTAATTGATTTTTCCTCAAACGTCCAGAATGGCCGTCTCTAAGAAATACTAAAATTGTTAGAAACAAAGAGAAAGGAAAATAGGGGTACTAAGAGACTGAATTTTAGTCATTGCTAATGATGCTTAAGTTGCTTAATTGTAATAATGTTTACGGTCGTGTAACATTTTCTCTGAGTTAACTTACTTGTGATAATGTTTAAGGTAGCTAGTGTAACATTTTCTCTTAGTGGACTTACTTGTAATAATGTTTATTAAAGGTCATGTAACATTTTCTCTGAGTAAACTTACTTGTAATAATGTTTAAGGTCGTGTAACATTTTCTCTGAGCGAGCGAATCGAGTTTGACTCTCCTCTTGCTTCTGTTTCTGTTGAGCCAGGTCTTTTTTATACGCCATCTCAAGATTCTTCACATTCTCAGAGAACAACATTTTCTCAGAGGCCACTTTATCAAGCTCCGACTTTAGCATCCCATAATTCTCTACCATTTCCAACTTTTCCTTCTCACTCTGTTTCAGTTCTAATTCTATACTGGTAAACTTAGCCTCCATTTCAGATTTTTCACACAGAATTTCCTGCCATTTGGCTTTCAATCTCTCCGATTCTGATCGAATGCTACAAATCACATCATTCTCTGACTTCAACTTCTCACATTCGGCCTTGAGTTTCTGAACTTCGACCTCTTGACCCTTTTGCTCATTAAGTCTCCTGTCTTGGTTTTCCAACTTCCCCTTCAATTCCTGAATTTCTTTCACATATCTCTTACTCTCACCGAAACCCTGCTCCTTCATGACCTTTATCTCTTCTTTCAATTTCTTATTCTCCTCCCCCAGTTTATGAACTTGACCTTTCACCTTGTAACTTTCGTCCGTGACCTTGTGGATCTCATCAATCACTTTCTTATTTTCTTCAGTGACCTTCCCTAATTCAGTCCTGAATCTCTCTTTCTCATGTCTGAGGTCCATTAATTTCGCCTCCAGTTCGGAGCGATCAGATTTTTCCATGTGGTTTCCTTTTTCAAATTCTTTCTTCAAATTAAGCTTTTCAGCATCCAGTTGACTTTGGTAGGCAGATTCGAGTTCCAGGCGAAGGCGATCCACTTCCTGTGACAGATGCCTGTCAGCTTTCTCTAGAAGCTGGTCTCGCTCCATCACTTCCTGTTTTAAGCGGTAGTTCTCCTTTTCCCATAATTCCCTCTCTTTCTCGTGTTTCTCATTTTCTCCAGAGGTGAGAAGCAAGCTCTGAAATAACATAATTTTAAATTTCTTACTTTATGAAAGAAAACACAAAAAAAAACAAATGAAGTGAAAGTCCATTTAGTATGGAGTGAAAGGTAATTTAAATTGCTCTTCCCTCGCAGTTCACTACAGACATGTTTCACTGCACCAATGGGAAATAAACAACAGATATTAAAAGCATTTCCAAAACATGAACAAATCAGAAAGAAAAAAAAAGACTTGTAAAAATTAAGAGTTACTTCTCTTAGCATATTAGAGTTCTATAACAACCTTATCAGAGGTGCTGCTTTTTAGAGCTTCCTTTAACTGGTTCTCGTTAAACTGGTGCTTCCTGATTTCCTCCGCATGTCTCTTCTCCAGCTCCATCTGAAAAATTACAATAAAATTTATTTCTGTTGTGGAATGAAAAATAAATGGTTATTTTTCAGAAATTTAATTTCTGAAAATTGATAAATCCATGTAGAAGAATGGTAACAACCATCATCATTTTTTTTTGTGTGTGGAATTCAGACCACAGAGTAAACTGTTGTCAGATGTAACCAATCTTACATCATCAAATATTATATTTTCATTTATAAAAAGAACTGTGTATACATATCCAAAATGCAGTTTTCATTGCAAGTGCGAAATTGTTTGATGATCATGGATGAAATTCATTGCATAATTTTGATCTCCAAACTTTTAAGACTGCATGAATCTTTGGGTGGAAACACTATGTGGTTTACCATCTCCCTATTGTGTTGTTTGCGTGCAGTTTTCAGTGTGAGTGTTAGTGTGTCATGGTGGTTCGTGGTGAACTGTGTAATTGTGTTAATCACTCTGTGGTTTACCTTTTCTCTATTGTGTTGTTCACGTGCAGTTTTCAGTGCCAGTGTCAGCGTATCGTGGTGGTCTGCGGTGAACTGCTCGTAATCTTTCTCACACTGATCCTGTACCTCCGCCACCGCCTGTTTACGCTCGACGTCCTTCTGTCTTAACAACTCGGACTTTTCCCTCCGGAATTTCTCCTCTCGGGTTTTTAATTCCTTGGTCAGGGATTCCAGGTCTTTCTTCAGGGTCTCTATTTCCTGTTAATTAAAACAATGAATTTATTTTAAGTTAATTGTTAAAAGTCACACAAAGGACACTAGATACTTACAGGTACTGACATAAATACATGTATTACTGACTTATTTGCTGCTCTTCAGGGCACAAAGTGTAATATAGAAAAAAATTAACTCAAATTTAATTAAGCAATCAAATTTTGATATATCTGGGGGGAAAAAAACCATTAACAAATCCTCAATTTAACTAAGAGAATAAGAATAGAATAACTTTGCATATTTGATTATTTTCAATCTTTCCATAAAATTTAGAAGAAAATCACTGGTTTGCCCATCCTCTGAAAAGAGTCATCTTAACTTTATGATTGCGAGTGTTTAGATGTGCTTTGATGCATCAAACATAAAGACATCTAAGATTGCTGTAGATCACTAAATTTTCGCAACACCTTATTTTCGTGCGATAGTCATTGATTCTTGTTTAGTGAGACAAAATTTTCATGAAATGTGGTTCTTGCTCTATATTATTATAAGGAATACTGTTATACGCAAGAATCAAATTTTCGAGAGCATACTGTCTCGCGTAATTACACGAAAATAAAGCAAATAAAAAGTGATTTACAGTACCTCTTTTAAGACACTCTGGGAAATTTCGAAGGATGAATTATTGGCTGCTGTCTCAGCTTCTTGTTCTTTCTGCCACAACTTCTTGGCATCATCCAAGGCTAATGAAACCTGAATACAAAATTACAGTTCATTAAAGTTGTCAATAGTTCTCATTTTCTAAATTCTTGGCTTCTGGTATATTATAGTTAATCCTTTTATTCTTTTTAGAACAATCCTTCTCCATTTAAAGATACATAATTTCATGCTAGTTGAATATTGCACCATTTGATTGGACTGAAAAATTCTTTATACACCTTCCCAAGTTATTCCATATAACATTGGTATGGACACTTTAAGGATTTTTTATAACTGGGACTTTCCTGCTATAAAGCATACATTGTTCCATCCCAGGGTATAAAATATAACTTGGGTAGGTTTTAAGTTCATTTCTTTAATATAATGAAGTAATATTCTACAGGGATTATCAGAAGTAATCCACATATTGAATAAGACATCAAGAGAAAATGCATAATCTTAACTGGCTACATACTTCAGCAGCAATCCTTTCCTGAATCGACTCCTCCATGCCGTCTCTGATTTTCTGTACATTCTCTTCATGGCTGTCCTCCCATTCTCTGCGAGCCTGCTCCACAGCAGCCTGAATTTCCTCTGACAACTTCCTGTCTGATGCTGCCTTCCACTGACTCCGCTCCTGCGAGATCCTCTCCTCTACTTCTGTCTCGATCCTCTCCTGTGTTTGCAGCTCTAAGCTCTGCTCCCAGTTCTTCTTCTCTTGTTTTACCTTCGCTTGGATCTCCTTTTCCTTGGCTTCATTCCATTTTTGCTACAAAAAACACAAAGATTTTACACTTTAAATTTCTTTTTTAATTCAAAATTTGAAACTTCTCTTTATTTTCAATGACTAAATCATGATTATAGAACACGTCGAAACTAAACCAGGAATTAAAGACAAAGGCAATATACTCATATACTTTTGCTTTAAAATCAAAACTTTGTAAAAGGGCATTTTGACCTATTTTAAAACTGTCATTTGACCCCTCTCTATGACCCATGACCCTCTATGACCTAGATTTACCTTCTCTGTCTGGATCCTCTGTAGGACGTCTATCTCTGTTTTCTCTTTCCAGTCCTCTCGCTCCTTTTGGATTCTCTCCTGTAATTCTGCGTCAGATTTCTTCTGCCATTTTTCTTTCTCCTTCTTCAACCAAGATTCCTTATCCGACTCTGTCCTGCAAAGTGAGCAACAACTTTTTGGAAATATTTCCATTAGGAGAGGAACTCCTTGCTTTCTTTTAAATTATTTTCTTTTTCTAATAGTGCCTGTATGAAATTGAGTAGTAGTTGAGAGAAATTGTTCGGATAAAATGTTCTACAGGATATTTTATATTGCAATTATATTTCCTGCCAGACAAGACAGAATTTCATGTGACCTACTTAGAAGTGACCTTTGACCTCTCCCTCTCCATGGCTCGCTTCATTTCCTGTTCAGCCTCTCTTTGACATTTCTCTATGGCCTCCGTCACCTTCCGCTGTATGTCGCCCTCTGTCGCCCGCCCCCACTCCGCCCGCTCCTCTCGGAATTTCTCCTCTACTTCTCTGTCCCAGGCATCCTTCTCTGCTGACAGACTCTCAGCCACCAGCTTCTCCCAGGCCTTCTTCTCAGACATCAGTTTTTCCTGTTAATAAAACACTTCATTGTTCTTATTCATATATATACTTGGAGTAAAAATTTTGAAGAAAATGTTTTAAAAATGACAATATTTAAACCATGAACATATTTATACTCAGCGGGGCTTTTAACAGCTTTTCATATGTCATTGAGGAGATAAATTTATCCTGACCATTTGAAAAGGCTGTTTCAAAATCATTTCCAATAGTTAATTTAGCCAATTATAAAATTTGAAGGGGCAAAACCCAATATAGAACTTCCTGCATACCTTTATTGAAAGCCCTAATAAAGTTATTTTTGTTTTGCTTGAATTCATTAGGAAAAAGGGGGAATATTGAAAAACTTAAAGAAATTCTAAAACACAAGGCTATGACAGAACTTCAGCTATAAACATGAAATACAAACTGATCTTTTGGTTTTGTTTTCCATACCTCTGCTTGCTTCTCCCACAAAGATTTTTCTTTCTCCAGCTTTTCCTGTGCCTCCTTTTCCCACAATTCCCTGTTGTCAGACACCTTTATCTGGTTCTCTTTCTCTAGCTCCCTTCTCAATGTCTCTCTCTCCTCGTTTAGTCTCTCTTGTACAATTCTCTCTGTCTCCTTCTCTAAGCTCTCCTTCTCTGCCTGAATTTTCTGTTTGAGCTCATTTTCTGAATTCTTTTTCCACTTTTCTCGCTCTTCTTCCAATTTTTGTTGGAGCTTGTTCTCTGACGTCTTTTTCCACTTTTCTCTCTCTTCTTCTAATTTTTGTTGGAGTTCGTTCTCTGATGTCTTTCTCCACTTTTCTCTCTCTTCTTTCACTTTCTGTTGGAGTTCCTTTCTCTGTGCCAGCCACTCAGTCTTAGCTACAAAAAAGAAAAAGAGGTGTTTTTTAAAACACTATGCCCACGGTGGTAACACAGTTTTGGAGTGGTATACACTTACCCTTGACAGAGCAATAGTCACGGGCTAGGTTAAAGTTGACAGACAGACAAACAGACACACTGGACAAACATAATATACTCCTGGGATCTTTGGATCTGGGGGCATAAAAATCTGAATTCACAATAAATTCCCTCCCAGTTACTGTTAACTATTTTATTAGCATGTAGGAAATATTCCTCAGTTGTTCAACCTTCTTTTACTTGAGTGTATATCACCATGAATCCTTTATCTGTGCATTCAGGTAGAATGCTACATGTACCTAAAGTTAAAAAAAATTGTAGGTATGTTTGCATATAGATTTGAAACTCACAATCTTGAATAAAAAGTTAGTTAATGAAGACCAATATTGTCCCTAAAGTGCATGTGTTTAAAGTTTAAACAGATAAGAGAATGGAAGATAAAAATAAAATAGCAGTCGGATAGGTTTGATCATTGGCAGCTGGTAGCTCAGTTGGTAGAGCACCTGAGGGGCCATTCAAGGGGCCCAAGTCACATTTATTCTCTCCAGTATATTTGGTGCTTTGTATTGTGGCATTGCCCTGGAAGCGATAGGTGAAAGATCTGCAAAGGAACACCATTGGGAAGGAAAAGGATGTTGATCATAGTGGTCAGATTGGTTCAATGAAGAAGATAACTCAAAATGAAAAGCCCTGACTTGATATTTAAGGGGGCCAGGTTCAAATCCTCTGTGGTTTGTTTCTCCTACACCTGTTACAGAATCTAATTCCATAATATGAAGATGACTTCCTCACCTTCCTGGAGTCTTGACTCGACCTCTGTATCCACGGCCGTCTCTAACTTCGCCCTCCACTCCGCCTCCGTCAGTTTGACCGCATTGTCCACTGCCGCCTGTTTAGAGGACCGCTGCTCCTCAAACCACTCCATCTTACACATAGCAATCTGAAACATAGAAAAACCACTCCATCTTATAATTACACATAGCAATCTGAAACATAGAAAAACCACTCTATCTTACACATAGCAATCTGAAACATAGAAAAACCACTCCATCTTATAATTACACATAGCGATCTGAAACATAGAAAAACCACTCCATCTTACACATAGCGATCTGAAACATACAAAAACCACTCCATCTTACACATAGCAATCTGAAACATAGAAAAACCACTCCATCTTATAATTACACATAGCAATCTGAAACATAGAAAAACCACTCTATCTTACACATAGCAATCTGAGACATGTAGAGAAAATAAAGACCTGATTTAAGTTTAAATCAAAATTATTTGTCTAAAGTATGCATGTCATATAATTGTGCTACTCAAATTAATAAAATGAGGAAATGAAAAACATCCTTTCTTGCTACATTTGACATTCTTCATTCTATGCTGTTAGACATATTAAGGAAAATTTGAGCTTAAAATTTACTACTATGACATTTATTGTACCATTCAGATAATTAATACAGTCACATTAGATTGTCAATGAATGGAATATCCTTAATATTATCATGCAAATGACCACATTCCATGAAGGAAATACAAAATCAAATTAAACTGCATGGTCACACCTGAAGGCTAGGTTATTCTTTCAAAAATATATGCATAAGAATTAATGGAATTCTACCTTTTATAAATCTCATCCATCTTCACAGGAAATGGCTATTTTCAATAACTTAAAATAAATCCTAAAATTCTGCAAGGTCAGAGTTCAATTACACAGGTCAGAGTTTAGTAACCCAGGTCAAAGTTCACTGGGGTGGTCAATCACTTAAGTGAATTCATTCACTCCTAATGCACTAAACTGCAAATCCTAATTAAGCAAGACACAGCATGAAATGGTATGCATTTACGATCCTTTTAAACAATGCACTCAAACATTCTGTTCTATAAGTAAGCCTTGGCCAAATGTCACAGAAATTCAGACAGGGATTTTAAAAATTTCAGTTCCATAGAATGGTAGAATTTTCAATGCCTTAAACCAGCATCATCAACCGTAGAATACAGACATGCAGGCTTGTCAAATTCTATCCCACCAAAGTTAATTATTTAATCCATTGTTAATCTGTGACAGGAATTTACTAGAACTGGACTGATTAAATACATTCCAGTTCTATACAGACAGATTTAAACTCATTAACAATGCAGGAATTGCACATGAAAAAATGTCAATGGAGATATGTGAGGTGTGTTATGCTATACAGCTGATGATCTCAAGATTTTTTATTCATGGCAGTTTAATTTACATGGGGTCAGTTTAAGGATTGTGTATTTAGTACTATGCATATTCTGTGATTATTCCGTCTGTCAGTGAATATTAAAAATAATAAAATAATTCAAAAAAGCATTTAGAAAAAAAATTATAGTGATTAGAAACAGTAATAAGTAAACATACTTTAATATAAGAAAAAATTACAGTAAATATTGCTTAAAAAATGATTTGAATATTGTATACCTAACATTGAAACATATTTGTCAAATTAAAATTTTAAGACTTTTTTTAAAATTATTATAATATAAATATTCCTTAATATAATTGTATAAAAATTAGAAAACATCTTTTACATCTTTAAAAATTGCCTCACTCCCCAAATGAATTAAACTGTACAGAGCAAAGACAAAAGCATAACCATGATTTTTTTTTTTTGGGGGGGGGGGAGGCTTTTCAGCATTCATTATAAAATTTCATCCCCTCTGTAAATCAAAATCTTTCATCTCCTACTAAAGCTTCAGTCTATAGAGAAGAATTGGGGCCCATTGGGGTGTCTTTAGACCTTAGTTACAGCTATTAAAGCAAGTGTAAACCCTTTATATTTAATAAATCCTCTTCATATGACATTGGATCACTGTATTATATTGATTCTTCCCATAATGTGTTAAATACCTCAATTTAAATGAAATCTTTTTTAAATCTCCTATCTTTAAGATGAGCATATTAAAAATAACCCAATGGAACATATAGTTTTGATTAGATAGATGCACAGTAAATCATTTTATTTATCAGTCACACATTAAACCCCCTGATATCTTTCATCTGTCCTGTGTACTGTGATAATGACAGAAGGTTTGTCAGCAGAGGCCTCATCTCCTTAATCAGAGTATCGTTGTGTGAGGGGGGGTCACACTTATCATTGTACATTGACAACAATCATACCTCCATCTGTATACAGGTATATACCTCTATCTGAATGTGTGTGTGTGGCTCTTATGTTTTGATGGCAACCCAGTGCTTGAAAACTCTTAAAAATAACTTCTTGTACATGTATCATAATAAAGATTTTAAATTTTTTTTTTTTCAATTTAACTATTCAATATTTTTTTGTTATCCATGCATGCATGGAAGCATAAAAATCAGTACCATCTGTCTGTCTGAGGAGAAAAAAAGGGCACCTGCAAATAATGCTTGTGTTACTTAAACACTCTTAGTCCAAAGAGCAGTAATATTCATCCAGTATTACTAGCATGCCTTTAAAACTTCTAAGCCCTCAGATATCTGCGGTTGGGACAGCTGGATGGGTGGGGTGTATGAGAGGGGGTGAAATGTGTAATTTGTACATAATTTGTGCATAACTTGCAGAAAATTCCATAATGCTTACAACTGTTGTAACAGTTTCTAACAAACTTTTAAAGTTCCATTTACTTTTTTTCACTTTTCAATACATGGGCATATTTAACTGAGATTAAAATTCAAAGACAATTAACCAGAATATACATCCATAATTAAAACTAAATCAACCTTCATTTGACCATTACATGCATGGAATAATCATTGTGTAAATTTCAGTCACAGATTGGGTATATCAGGTATCATTTACCAGCTGATTGTGCACTGAGCTCTTTTAAACCGCCGTTTTATCTTTGCAAATCAATTGTATATTAATTAACACGTCAATATTTAAACCTATTTCATGAAATTAAGAACATCCATCATTCTAGAACCAATTCTCATTCCTTAACATCAATGAGACAAAAGCATAACCCCAGCCAAGATGAGACAAAGTAAGAATACCATAAGTGTCTGAAAAGGGTGACTCAAGATTTCTCCCTTTATCTTATCTAAGTTAACAATGTTATACCTAACAGCTGAAAACATATTCATAATGCAAAAATACAAAATGCAAAATACATTCTTTAAGAACGAACTGCAGTGCATAGCCTTGGTTTACATTTTTTTCTAGTTTCTTCAGTACCTTAGTATCCAGTTACTTTTGGCAGAGTTTGGGGTTTTTTTTCCAGCAATTACTTGCGTTTACTTGACCTTGGCTTGCAGCAATTTCTAGTACTTACATGACTTTAGTTCCCATTTATTTTCTATTTTGCATTACCTTGGTTTCCAGTAGTTTCTGGATGTCCTCTTCTGTTTTCTTCTTTAGAGACTCGGTGACCTCTGACCTAATTCTCTCCTCGTCTGCTGCCATTTCTTCCTTCACTTTCTGCACAGCCATGTCCTTCTCACTGATCAGTTCTGCTCTCAACTACAACATACATTGTACAGGAGAAAATTATTTTCTACCTTTACAGATCATTATAATACTCCAAAGATATACTTTATATTTCCTGAAATTCAGATGTAACAATTTTTTACATGCCAAAGGCTTTTTTTTTTTTTTTTAAATGTTTAATCAGTTCTGAACTTCAGAGTGTTTAGCAGAAATAACACAGTTCTAATAAACAAAGCTTCAGTCTTCTTTTCATGTGTGAATATTACAGTTCATGTACAAACAATATCTTCAACTTTTACTAGCTGACCCCAATAGCCCAAAATAACCTTTTTTTTTCAATACTGATCATCAAAGGACATTTTTACATACTGATCTACAATAAAACAAACTTACAATACATGTGAGTGATATAACAACAAATTAACCTTAGATGAATGCTCACCTCTTGTAATTTCTGGAAGGTTTCAGTTTCATTTTCCTTCTTCATCTTCTCCTCCAAAAGGTCCTTCTCAGAACACACCTTGACATACAATTGTTTGACCTGGTCCACTTCATGTAAGGCTGAATTCAAATCATTTCTGAAATAGAAAAAAAATGTCATGCAAAACCTTTTTTTCTAAAAATGCAGACAAACCTTGAAGTATAGAGATGTAATAAGAAGCATTATGTTATGAATATTTTTTTCGCAATGAAAGGTAATACATTAACCCTTTACTTGTAATAAAAAGAACAGAATAGAAAATTCACAAGTTATCTCCTCCTGATGTTTAAACTGTGAAATCTCCTACTGTAGAAGTACTTTTTTCCGCGTGGTATTAATTTACGCTTTATAGGCGGTCACAGAATATCCGCGGAAATTTGTCCAAGCGTACCTAATGCAAATGTAAGGCATATAATGACAGTCAAGAAAATCCGCGTAATTTTCTACCCGCGGATTAAACAGAAATTGCGATTCCGCGGAATTATGACCCCATGGAAAAAAGTACGTCTACAGTATTTTCCTGGAGCTTTATTATCATTGTTTTCCAGGTATGGAAAAACACACAAATCTACGACCACAACCAACCAAGAAATGTAAAATTTCATATGCATTACAACTTAACATTTTTCAACCATCAAATCAAGTTCCAACAAACCCAACATTTTTCCCTAAAACCTAAAAAATTACACCCTTGAAAAACATGTGAATTAAAAGTACCTTAGCTGTGTGCATTCCCTCTCATACTTGGTGATCAGACCGGTCTTCTCTGCCGTGAACTCGTCAATCATGTGAAGTCTCAGCTGTTCCTTGGCTGTCTCATGTACGGACTCGCACGCTCGCTGACAGCGATCGAGCGCCTCGCGTTTGTCTTGGTCATACTCGCGGACCATCTGAGACATCTGCTGCGTTAACTGCTGGTTTATCTCAGACAACTTCTCCTCACTAGACGCCACCTCCTCCAGCCTCTTCTTCAAATCCTGCAACAGAAGACATTTTTACTGAGGATTTGGAGATTGAATGGACTGGTCATCTTTTAATTGTCAGCAAAAAAAACACTGTGACATATTTAACATTAATGAGTAAAGCTCTTGATGCCTAATTCTGAAAACTCAAAGCATCATTAATAGAATCTTTTCTCCTTTTCCTGTGCATCCTGGATAATAAATGTATCAATAACTAATCTCTTTCCCTCCCCAGGTCCCTTACTTACCTCCAATCCTCACCGAGAACTTCTTGAATGCTATAACCATGTTTTATTGTACAGTATCATACAATTATTGACTTAAATTCGGTCTATTAGTGATTGTACGGTCCTGGTCAGGTATATGTTGACCGAGGCCAAAGGCCAATGTTAACCAATACCTGACCAGGTTCTTCATTTGAGGTGAACTCACACTGAGGTACATCTCAGGAAAAAGCCTCTAGACCAATCAGAAATCTCCAAAATTCCTGATTATTTAATAATAATAATTAACTCCACCCCTTTCAAACCCCATTTTTCCACATCTTTAATGGGGACCTCTTGAACCTCATAACCGTTGTACTGTACAGTATTAACAGTCAACCCCCACCCCACCCAATTCAACCCCTACCTCCACATCCTCTTTGAGTACCTCTTTCTCCCTTTTGAGGCCCCCAGGTCCCTCTCCTACCTCCACATCCTCTTTGAGGATCTCTTTCTCCCTTTTGAGGCCCCCCAGGTCCCTCCCTTACCTCCACATCCTCTTTGAGGACCTCTTTCCCCTTTTGAGGCCCCCCAGGTCCCTTCCTTACCTCCACATCTTCACTGAGGACCTCTTTCTCCCTTTTGAGGTTCTTGATGTCCTTCTGTAGGCGGGCCTCCACAGCTGACACCTTGTCATCAGATCTCACTAGCTCCTCCCACTCCTGGAGTTTGGACTATAAATAAAGGTCCCTCTCCTACCTCCACATCCTCTTTGAGGATCTCTTTCTCCCTTTTGAGGCCCCCCAGGTCCCTCCCTTACCTCCACATCCTCTTTGAGGACCTCTTTCCCCTTTTGAGGCCCCCCAGGTCCCTTCCTTACCTCAACATCTTCACTGAGGACCTCTTTCTCCCTTTTGAGGTTCTTGATGTCCTTCTGTAGGCGGGCCTCCACAGCTGACACCTTGTCATCAGATCTCACTAGCTCCTCCCACTCCTGGAGTTTGGACTATAAATAGATAAAGGCTATAAATAAATACAGACTATCAATAGATATAGGACTATAACTATCAATAGATATAGGACTATAATTAGATACAGGTACATGTACTTCAATCAAACCTTGTTATCTCAAACTCACCTGGACCAGAAAGAAAACTTCGAGATAATCAAGAATTTGAGATGTCAAGGGAAAAATACTCAAAGAAAAAAACGTTAGGAACTTCTAAATCAGTTTGACCTATTCATAATTAGGAAGCAAGCATTGTTTGAAAAAAACTGCTGTCTAATTTGTAATAACTGCATAGAAAGAATGTTGTTGAATGTTCTATATTTACAATTAAGGAATGACAAACTGGTGTTTATAAGAACAAAATTCTTGGTTTGATAGGAATCTGAATTTAATTTAAATTGGTAGATCGACACAGGTACTTTCTTTTCATCTTTATTCTTTTCTGATGATTTTAAAAGAAAATTTTCTTCCAGTTAAAATTATTATATCCATGTACCTTCAAATCTGATTCAGATTTCTCGGCTCTTTCGCAGCGCATTCGGAACTCCTCTAGATCCTTCTTACAAGTCCTTATTTCCTCCTGCAGCTTGGTCACCTGGATTCTCTTTTCCTTGTTGCTAAGAAGGCATCTTTCAAGTTCTATTTTTAGATTGGTCACTAGGTCCTGGGACTCTGCTCCTTTTGGTACAGAACTGAATCTGTATATGAGAGAAATATACATCTGTTAAAGTATTAAAATTTTCACCTATCATTTTTTTGGACAAAAATACATATAGTATAAATGATACTTGTCTTTGATGAGTTATATATAAAATTACCTTCAAGTTTTTATATTCTCAAATGAATTATAATTTCTAGATATGCTATGTAATTATACCTTGGAACTATCAAGGTTTGTAATGGAAGAATTTTCTATTGATGTAAGGCCAAAAGAAAGTAATCAATAGTTTCTCAGGCCAAAAAATTCAAAGAACAAAATACGGTTGTTACCACTATCGGCCTAGTAAATTCGTCAAAAATAAACAATGATATCTTCAGAAATAAAGTGTTGATATATTTTATACACGACCAGATCTATCTGATCACGGATGTAAAATGGCGCCAAAACGTCACACAAACGCTATGTAAATTTCAAAACCATACCATGTATCAATATATTCTCCAAAAATGGCATTTTTTATATCTTTGATGGCAAAATTCACTTTGGCCGCAATGAACGCGATTCATGAAACTTATATATATTTTTTATAACGCAACAATGTTTCAATTTAACAACATCTAGTGAATCGCGTTTGCTGCGGCCAATGTTAAAACTGAGTTTATATGTTATTCCGGATTTCAAGTAGAGAAATCTAATGTGAACTTATTTTTTAATTAAAGGCATCGTAATTGCTGTAAAAATTTTAAGATAGTTTACAAAATGAGTATTTAAGTCTAATCATTATCATTAAGAACATAGGCTGAACAATAAATTAGGTAGACAATATACTTTAGCCACCCTTTAGGTGAAAATTACCGATAGGGATAACGTTAGATCAGCAATCTTAACGATTGAAGTAAAAGTGTTCATCTGGCCCCCAAAACAAAAAAAAATATAAAAAGAGAGAAAGATTGTAAAAGTACGCAGATAAGAAAATGAGCAAATAATCAAGATTTTTAGCATTTTTTATGTTTGTTTTGCAACTGATATAATTGTTTGTTTCTCGCCTGGAAATGATTATGAATATTATACAAATATGAATATTACGCAACAAACTCATAGATGACGTCACAATAGATCGTGTAAAACAATTTACGCTTTTTTTTTCTATTTTTTTTAAGTTGCTGTTGATAATATTTATTTAGAACTTCAAAATTCCTTAGGAAAAGTAATTTGAAAGATATATGACAATTTATAATTGTGAAGAGATCCTGAGATTATGTGGACGAGAAAAGTTAATTGTTTTCACCATCAATATGTTCAATACGTTCAAGTAAAGTCAATCGATCTACTTATTTGAAATAAAAAAAATGTTTGTAAAATTGTTAACAAATAAATTGTTGCAAGTTCCTTCTGAAATACTTTCTGAAATCCAGAAAAAGAAAATATGATGGATTTATTTTTTCAAGGTAAGTTGTCCAACAGAACTAGTCATTGTCGCTGTAAATATCAATATCTCGTACACCCGATTGTATAAAGATCATATACGTGGTTTGAGAGAACCGTTTTTTTTTAAAACTTTATCTATTGATTTATTTATTTATTTTTTGTACAATTTACCTGTATGATAATCTCAAATAATTCCACACGTAACATTCAGAAACGTAGTTTTTGGACTGATTAATAAACATGTTCTCGCCGAAAAAAAATCTAAACCTATCCCCCTCCCCTCCCCCCGTCCCTTCCCGTGACAATTTGTATGAACCTTGTTTTCCTTCTACAAACAATACTTTAACTGACTCCACATTGTTGTTTTTTCCCCACAAATTGCAACAACGTTGAAGGGGGTTATTTAAATGAGTTATATATACCGGTAAATGATATATATAAGTGCCTGTGAATAAACAGGATGAATAAATATTCATTTTCTGGTTTGCACTTGCATTTTGTTTTAATACGACTTGCTTTCCTTATTTTACTTAGCAATTGCATTTTAGTTTCATTATTCTAAAAAGTTGTGTAAAATCGGATTCGGAATTTTCTTTCGTCGACTTGAACACAGACAGCGGTAAAAACAAATTTCAATTGACGATATTAAAAGAAACATAAAAGGTTGGTGTCTTCTATAAATCTTTTTAAGAACAATATTGGACGAGAAAAGATAGTTAGACTAAATGTGCGAAAGGACGACTACAGATTGCCATTTTCACGATAGACTGAATTAATTTTATTGCTAGAAAAGAAAAAAAAACTTGAGAGTGCGATTGTTTCAAACTTTTTTTTAACACATTGCATTGTCAATAAACGTGTTTTATAATCGTTAAAATTATGAGGAATATTATCGATTTACAGCTTCTTACAGGGACGAGCATTTCGTTCTCGAAAGGGGTTAGCAGGTTTTTAAAGAAAAAAAACAAAACAAAACAAACAGGCATATAGCCATTATTGCAAACAAATATTCTATCCTCCTCTTGATATGAAGTAATGAAGTATAATCTTCACTGAGAGAATTAACCTAGTTGATTTAACTAGTGTGCCTAGTAAAGCGTTCTTCATGATTAGTGATCACTCTGTGTACTAGCTAAGGTAGTGAAAAGTTGAGTGATGGTCGTAAAGATACTTAGATACCTAGTGAAAGTTACTTATGAATTCTTAGGATTACTAACATTATCTAGTAAATCTACCCAATACCTAGTAAAACTACTTTTGAGGTAGTGATTGTATGAACAGTAAATTTACTAGTCTTCCCAGTGACTTTCACTATAGTAGTTATTTTTTTTCAGTGTTACCTTGACTGGGGGTACCTACACCCGTCCCAAACACTGTACGTAGTTTTGATTTTTATGCTTGTGAAATTTACAGGGAAATAAAATTGTCCCTAATCATCTTGGAAAAGCACATTCTGTCATACAGCGGTATAAAAAGTAAATAATCTGAAAATTAACGACCCCTACCGTAAATTAAATGAATGGCCGTCCCTTAATTTATACATGTAACTAAGAGTTCGGTTTTATTGATGTTGACTTATATTCTGTTATGATTATATTACATGTACATACATGTATACCAAATATGGCAGACTGTTAAAAATGAAAATAAAGACATTTTTGGGAGTTGAACTATGTTCAATCTCCCATGGTCATCACGTATTTAACATGCGCAGTAATTTGTGTTGATTATATAGAGCCGAAAGCAAGGCTACTGTGTCGGCTGATTTACCACTCGGAGATCCTCGGATGACTCGTACCTCGGAGCGTAGCGGAGTCAGCCGCGGATTGCCGATTGCTGATTTACTCCGATGATATTCAACAGAAAACGTGCATAAACATCCGCCACAAATAGTTCATGTCATTTTCTCCTGAATTGATCTAATTTTCATAATTTGAAATGTAAGTAAATGTAATAATGATAAAGTAATCTTATTTTGAATATTAGATTTCGTTCAATGTAAAACTAAATGATAAAGAACCTCAAAAGTTTTTCGTAATGGAACTAATTTTTTGTGTGGCGTCATACACTGAAAAAGATACGATCGACAACTCTACATACTAACGGCAAGTGGTAAATCTAGTCGTCCCGACGCCCGACGGTCCCGGATTTTTAGCAATTTTTTTTTTTTACCGGTGCACAGAATTTATTCAAACTTATCATGAACATTTTCTTGGTTTAAATGAATTCATTAATGCATAAAAACTTTAGGAAACATGCGTATTTATTACTAAATCAGCAGTATCACCTGCCAAAAGCGGTAAATTTAGTACTCTGTTATAAATGTTAAAACCAAAAAACGGACACTGATGTTTTCGTAAAAACAACAAAATGAAGTACGCACACAAACTCTCACATATACCGCTGTTTTTATGTTTGGTCATTAAATATTTATTTTAAACTTGGTATTGCTTTTTTCTTCACAATATTAAAAAAGATTAAGTTCTGACGTACTTCATGTATAATGTTCGTGTAATTGAAATACATTTATATTCACAGAGAAGTTTTATATAACAAACCTGTTACCTCTTAAAAGGATGCTGTGTTAAAATCCACATTTTATCAACATTGATATTATTCCTGCGAAACTGAAATTTTCATAACACATGGGTAAAGGTGCCAAGGAAAAATATCTTACAAATTTGAAGACTGTGAGCAGTAGAATAAATGATCAACCGCCTCTAATATGAATATAATGGAAGTGTCCGTGTTTTGCAATGGGAAACCCAAAATATGTGTAGGATGGAAAAGTAATAGAAGGTGCACAACAGCAATATGTAATAAATATTCTATGAAAATTTCGTTCAGTGGTGTAAGAGGAGTTGCGGATAAGAGATGGGTATACCTAAAGCGTAACAAACAGATAGACGGAAATCCAGATACCCTCCCGCTTTTCAAGCAGGGGGTATAAAAAAGGACTAATGTAGGCAGGCAGCAATATGGCCCCTGCATTTTATTGCTATTCAATGTCTCTGAATGTCTTTCTCAAGATTTTTGCAACTCAAAAAATCTGAAACAGTTGTCTGTATTTGAAATAATAATAATATTGTTCACCCACTTAACCTCCCGATCAAAGATTGTATTTAACACCACGTTCAACTCCCATGAGTGCTTTCAGTACTTTGATTTGTATTAAACTTGATAAAAAGACATGTTTTAGCTATGCTACGAATATATTATTATTATTGTACGGAACGGTTTTCATGTCTCAGAAATATAGTGTCTTGGGGATGGGGAGTGGGAGGTGTAGTGGGGGGTGTTCCCTTCTATGATGTGACCTTGTTACACAGTTTCCCAAGAAGACTCCTAAAATGTCTGAATCCAGGCACGTAGCATCGATTTTGAAAGTGGGGGGGGGGGGCAACCAGAGAAAATATTTTTTACTTAACTGTAAAAATTGACAAGCAAAAAAAAAAAAAAAAAGAAAGAAAGAAATTGCCCAAACTCGAAAATCGTATTTCGGGGGGGGGGACGTTTTCCAAGGCAAACTTCCTTTTACTTCCAATTTTTTGGCATACAATACTACATTTCCTTCAGATCACTATATGGTGGTAAGAAGTGGGGGCCATC